TTAGTTTAGGACTTAAACAGTACTTAAGAAAAACATCTTTGAGATTATATTAGTGCCGTGGATGGCATAGCTCAGTGGATTGAGCGCAGTCTGCAAACCAAAGTGTTGCAGGTTCAATTCCTAGTCAGGGTACATGCCTAGGTTGCAGGCCATGACCCCCAGCAACCGCACATTGATGTTTCTCTCTCTCTCTCTCTCTTTCTCCCTCCCTTCCCTCTCTAAAAATAAATAAATAAAATCTTTAAAAAAAAGTATATTAGTAAAATCAGGTGATCTTCTTACATTTGCAGAGTGTTTTAATTAATCTGATCATTTTGATTTACAAATCCCAAAAGGGTTAATGTGTATGTTTAGTTCTTTAATGTTTGCTTTTTTCAGAAGGTTTTTTTACCGTATTTTATGTAAGTATACTGATGTATTTATAGTGACTTTTATGTAAATGTACATATTTGAACTGATGGAAAATATTTTATAATTACAGTTGATCTGTCAAGAAATTAAAATGTTGCCCTTTGTATTTAGAAGCATGATTACCCAGCTGGTGAGAAAGTGTACAAGCAGGGCCGTAGAGGGCAAAACAATCATTTTCTGATAGTTCATATCTTCTCTTTTTATGACCTTCCTCACACCAGGGGTGTTTTGCTCTACTCAAACCTCTTTTCCCTCTCAGATTTCTACTTCAGAAATGGTTTGGTGGAATAGGTTTACTCTGAGGTATCACCAAATTATACTACAGAGTTGCTTTTTAATTGGCAATGAAAGATTTAAGGCAAAAGAAGGAAACCTTTGATGGAATTCTAGGCATCTCCAGCAAAGTTATAAAGACGATTTTGAATTTGTGTCTTCCTAAGAATTTTGACTCTCTACCACCTAGATCAGGAGTGTCAAACCCATTTTCACTGAGGCCCCCATCAGCCTTGGGGTTGCCTTCAAAGAGCTGAATGTAATTTTAAGACTGTATAAATGTAACTACTACTTAACAGTTAAGTGAGAGCTTGGCACTACTGCCAGGTAGAAACAAGGTGCTGGGCCAGAAAAAACAAGGTGGAGGACTGGATTTGGCCCATGGGCCTTGTGTATGCCACCTGTGACCTAGATAGTTACTGGACTTAGAATCAGAAAATGTGCTTTCTAATCTTGGATGATCTAAATGTCACTCATAGCTCTGAGATGCTGAATTTTATCTTAGCAATGTACACAGAAGCCTAAGTTGTTAAACTTAAGAACTGGGACTTCACTTTACCAGGATCTCTCTGCAAAAGTAGAAATGCATGAAACATGTCTTTTCACATTGGTATTATGTTGGATTCCTAGGAGAATCTAGTGTGCCTCTGGGGAAAACAGCCTGAGGCTTATACCTTGTTATTTTTCAAACAGAACTATATTCTTACTTTTTCGTTTTGTTTTGATTTGGTGGTGGTGGGAGTGGGATATGAAAACCATAATAGCACAGGGTTCTATTGTGCTTGAATATTTTGTTCATCTCTTCAGATATACCATCAGTCTTTGGGATTGTCTACTCAAGGACTGTGACATTATGTTTGTAAAGGAAAAATATTTTTTAAAAGGTTGTTTTTCAAGGCCACAAATTTATTCAGCCATGTTCACTTTTCTTCAGCACATAGTGGTTATCAGAATATTATCTGTATCTCAGACATTGCAAACTTAATGTTGAACAAACTACCCTGATCTTTCACCCTGTGGTTTTAACACTTCTACATTAAAGGAGAAGCATTCAGAATTTTGGACCTTTTCAGACTCTCTTATTCCCATTCATTCACTCATCCTAATTTCTGTATTTGCTCAATTAAGATCCTTGCCACTTTCTCCTATAACGTATACTTCTTATCCCCTTAACCAAACAGTAAAGCATTAAACATTTGGGGCTTGGGAGGAAGAGTGAAGGTAACCAACGTTTTTCCTGAGCACCGACAGATTATATGATAATTTCTAGGGTTCTTACATAATCTAATCTTCATAGAAACTCTTCTAGAATGTGTATAATGGCTGCTGTACAGATTAAGGAAATTAGACTCAAGACACTTGCGTAACAAAGACGATTAACTTGTGTCAGATCTAGAAGCTTACCCCAAATGTTTTGGTTGACCCCAAAATTCATGTTTCTTTTTTGTTCATTTATGGTTTCTAAACAACTTTTCTAAAAACTAGTTTAGGTGGCTTATAATAAATGAACTAATAAAATGGTCAAAAATACAGAGTATAAAGGGAAAGGGAAAAGAGACTTATAATAGAATTTGGAAGAAGGCATTTATTATAACTGAGGGTTCAGGGAAAATGCAAAGCTTTTATTATATTTTTATTTTCCTATTGGCGGATGTTAATGGTTCAAATAATGCTTCCATCAGCTCTTGATGTATATTTGACTGATTTGGGGGAATGGGAGAGATAGATAGAGGTCTCTTTAGGTCACACAGACCACCCTGCCTCTGGAGTCTGGGCAAACAGACTTCCTAGGTAATTTGTGGTAGGCAAAACTAGAAGAAGCACCGGACAAAACATCTCTTAGGCACCTTGCTTGTGTTTTCCTGCACTTTGATATGGACTTACAGATGTTCCTAAGTATATCCAACTGGGTTGACTCTTACACATTGTGCAGTAGAGTTGATGATAGCTGGGAGGCTCCCTTTACCATGTATATCCCTTGCTACCTGATCTGTCTCAGTGTCCCACATTTCTCTTATGACTTCACCCATTTCCTTTTTTAAAATATTTTATTTATTTATTTCCAGAGAGAGGGGAAGGGAGGAAGAGAGAGAGAGAAACATCAATTTGTGGTTGCCTCTTGCACACCTCCTCCTAGAGACCTGGGCCACAACCCAGGCATGTGCCCTGACTGGGAATTGAACCAGTGACCCTTTGGTTCACAGGCTGGCACCCAATCCACTGAGCCATGCCAGCCAGGGCAACTTCACCCATTTCTTGATTTTGTAACCTATTGCTCACCACTACCTTATTTCTGGGAAGGTGCCACAGAATGGGGAAAAAAGAAAAGCACTTAGAGTTGGAGCCAGGAGACTTCTCTACCCATCATTTGGCAATGTGTGACTAGGGTACATTTTTTCTTAGAGATTTATATTTACCCATCTTTATAATAGGCATAATGATTTCTGCCCTCCCCCCCATACTATGTCCTCCTCCACAGGGATGTAAGAATCTTTTAGAAAATGGATAAAGGAGAGCTTAGTAACCTGAAGTGTCTTATAATTGGGAAAGAATTGGGAAAGCTTATTGTATAAACATCTGTTTGTGCAACATGGATCTACCTGTAATTTTGAATTCTTGAGAACTAAAAAGAAAAATCAGTGCCTTCCTACCTTACAGGCAGTGATGCTAATATGCAGCTGAACTGTTAACTGTACATTAATTGTCATGTACATTTATGCAAATGTGTATAGAGCATATTGTTTACATTCCCCTAGCTGTGGAATGGGGCCACCCCTGTTTTGTATAATCATGGAGAACAAGTGTGGCAGTGTCACAGACCAAGTATACAACTGTGACACTTATGTACTAGAACCATTTTTATTATATTTTCAAACATTATACCATATTTATTTGAAAACTTGGTTCATTCATGGAGCCTTCAAGATTTGTATTTTATATATAGTTGTGTGTGTATATACATGCATACACATGTATACATGTAAATAAAAAACATTATTTCTCTCTCCTCTAATGTAAGTGTCACTGCAGCAGTGAGGAGACAAACACAAAAACACATTTCGTTGATGAGTCTAAAAGGGGAGCTTCTCCCATCAAAGGTTTGAAACATGCTGAAAGTCCAATCTTCACTCTGTGGTCACAGTAATTATTCATTGCTAATACCACATGGCCTATAAAGTTTTTCGTATTATCTATTTCAGTTTTCACTACAGCTCTACAAGGTAGGTTGGATTATTAGCCCCATGTATCCACTGCTCTATAAGCTTCCCAAAGGTGCAACCACCTCTCATTAGTTTTTCTTCCTCTGGCATCTAATTCCCGCAGCAAGTGTATATATGAATTTAGTTTATACAGTTTCCCGATGAGAAAACAAATGCAGGGATGTTTTGTGGCTCCCACAGGGACTTAAAGCTTCCTAATATATGCTGGAGGAAGACTTAAACTTCCATTTTCTGACTTTACATCCTGTCCTGACTCTAGTGGACATCATTAGTTCTATCTATATTCAAAGAAGAAGTCAGGAATGGCATTTGAGTCTGGAATGTCATATGTAATATAATGCATATATGACAAACCAGTTCTAGTAAATTTTCAAATTGAAGTTATGCTGAATGGAAAACATTTTTTCCCTCGTCTCCCAGGAGACTTGTGGAAAGTCAACAAAACAGTTGTTTGGGCTCCAGGGCTCTCCTGCATACAGCGGCTATTGGTATTCCAAATGGTTACTCCATGGCCCATGAACATCTAAACTGACAAAGCCACATTTCCATGCCAAGGCCTCTTCATAAAAGCAGGCTCTGCTGCCAAAGGCCCTGTTTGATTGATTAGCTTTGTAGTTATTTTCTGGCTATACCAAATGGCCTAGGCAGCTACAAATGAAATGCCTCAGTTACCATTTGAGCTTGGCATCTCTACATCTTTCATAAGCCTTTGAGTCTTCACTCAGTTCTTTTCCCTCACTGATTTTTAAAATTGTTTAAGTTGACAGACAAGAAAGGGAAAAGGGGCAGAGAAAATGATAAAAGAAAGAGGACAGTGCAGTTATTCTGCCTCTCACAAAGGAGAAGCTTTAGGAAGAAATTTAACTTTGTACTCTACACATTCAGGAAAAATATGATTTGATGATAGCATTGTGACCCCTCCCTAGTCAAAAAATTCTCAGATGGGAGTGCAGATAACCTCTTGTTGATTCTGGAGGAATAGTTTTGCAACTGTACAGTTTAAGGCTACGTTTTAATCTGAGACCTGTTGGAAATGACCAGTCCCCAAGCTTCAGTATCCCATGCTCACCATCATTCTGACCTTTTTGTTCCCAGGACCTCAATGCAGTCTCAGACCTCATACGGTAACAGCTCCCCACCTCTGAACAAAATGAACAGCATGAACAAGCTGCCTTCCGTGAGCCAGCTTATCAACCCTCAGCAGCGCAACGCCCTCACTCCCACCACCATTCCCGACGGCATGGGAGCCAACAGTAAGAGCATCTCCCTTTAGCAGCAGCTGAAGGACCCCCAGGGCTAGTGTGAGAGGGAGACTCTGCTCTGGGATGGGGGGAAAGGCTTGCTCTCAAGCTAAGTGAGAGGCATAGTGGGACAGAACAGATCCAAGTTGAGTGGCTTGAATTTCTCACAGTAAACATTTTCTTGCTTTTGAGGTATGTGGTTCTTTACAAAGTACTTTGGTAGAGATGAAGAAGGCTGTTTCCTTAGTGGCGATAAGAATCTCGGTGAAAAGAATAGTCCACTCCTATCAGCATAGGTAAAGGCTCACCTTCTACATCCACTGAGATAGTCAAAAGCAAATATATCCAACATGTGGGAAGTAGCGTGGTGTGGCGGACTTAAAACCTAAAATACATTACAGTTTGGACTCTATTGTAGTGTTACATATGTAACTATGAATAGCACACCTCTTTGCTCTAATGCTCAGCTTTTCATTCATAAAATCATTACTCTGCACAATTTAACACTTTATGATTCTGTGTCCCTGCAATCTTGGCCTTCTCTACTTGTCTAATCCATTCCGTTCACAATCATTAATCACAAATGACATAGGGAAAGGAGTTTCTCTTTCACTTATTTATACACAGATTTCTCATAACAACTATAACTTAAGTATAAGTTATAGCTTGGTTTCTTAAGTATAACTGTAAGAAACAGTGAGATTTGGGCATCCAAGTAGCTAATGATTGGTGTACAGTTTTGTTGTAAATAAAATTATTTTCCCCCCTAGAACTAAATCTAGCAAAGTGGATACCCAAAGTTGAAAGAAAGAAAAAGGATGGTAAAAATGCAGAAGGATGTATAATATCCTCAGGGATGCAGGAGCCTGAATACTGTACATGTATCCTGTAACCCTCCCCCGCTTCATAAAATGGTGCCTCAATACTCTCTTTTGAAACCTTCCAGCGTTTTTACTAAGCCTTTGGTATTTTCAGTATTTCTTTGAAGAGACTGGGTTCTCTTAAGGAAGTTAGGGCAGGGTAGAGTTGGGATTGTCTACGGTCTGATGACACATGTTCAGACTTTAATGAGCTGGAGACATATGTGGTAGAGCAACAGAGATGTGAGAGCCAGACTGCCCTCTCAGTAGGGATAAATGAAACCTAAGACTCAAAACCTGACTCCTTGACAATAAAAGAAAAAGTAATAGTTTACTTTCTCCCAAATTTTCTTTCTTATGAGATCTTAGAGTCCTCAAGTTTTTCCTGGGATGACCAAATAGTAGTAATGATAAGGATCTTTCACATTTGCGTGACGTGATTTATCTACTCTCTCTTACATATAAATCGCAGTTTTCCTTTGCTGTCGTCAGGAAAGTCAGAGCGGAACCGGTGAGACACTGTAGTCCTGTGCTCCTCAGCTGGCCAGTCAGTGGCAAAGGTCTTTCCCTTTGGGACACTACTGCTCACTCAAGTAGAAGCAAAGTACATTTCATCTTTTTGTAGACATGTTGTTTTGATATTTTTTTTACCTGGGGACAAAATTGGTTCCATAAATATTATTAAGCTTCTCTTCTCTATAAGTGAAAGCTTACAGTTTATGGTTTAGTAAAAAATAAATAAATAAATTCAGTGTGTTGATGGTGTTCCCAAATACAATCCTGAAATGGGCCAAAACAAAGAGCTAGAATTTTTAATTTCACTCCTCCTTATTAGGTTTATGGTTCTCTACAAATACGGCAATAAATCCTCCTATTTCTATTCCTATATAAATATACTCCCTCATCCACAGATTTGTTCATTTGTTCATTTAACATAAATTGACTGAGCATCTGCTCTATGCCAGGCACTGCGCTGAGATCTTTGGGGATCTTTGGAGATAGGTTTAAGGTCTAATCTCCATATATGAGGGGATTAATCTAGTGAGGGAGGCAGAAATATAACCCATGAAGGCTGAAGCAATGAGGAAAATATTAACATCAGGAGCAATGAGCAATTTGGATAGAGCTTTAGAACTAAAAAAAAGCGGGAAGAGATTGTACAAAAGTCAAGAAGTGTGTAATCAGCTTTTAGTTTGGTGACTATTCTGACTGATGAGATGTAGGGTACATGAAGGGGTGTAGTGAGAGATGAGACTGGAAAGGAAGCCTGGTAGATTAGGTACATTAAACCAGGCAAAATGGACCACTGGAACGCTGGTACATGATGATGGTAGTAACCCTCTCTGTTCCTCCTGCTTCTGTTCAGTTCCTATGATGGGCACCCACATGCCAATGGCTGGAGACATGAATGGACTCAGCCCCACCCAAGCCCTCCCTCCCCCACTCTCCATGCCATCCACCTCCCACTGCACCCCCCCACCTCCGTACCCCACAGATTGCAGCCTTGTCAGGTGAGTCCACAGCATGTGCCCTTGGGGGCCTGTCCTAAGCATCTCTGGGTGGTGGAGGGTGGACACTGTCCAAAGTTAATAGCACAGTTGGAAAGAAAGAAAGCATCCCTGTGGTTGAAGTTCAGCTACTATTATCTCTGATCTGTGGAGTGATCAGCAGTGTATAATCAAGGAACATCACTGTAATCAACATGGGGAAAAGTGAAAATATAATTTTATAGGCATATAATTTTTCATGCCCATTCCCCCAGCTTTACTTGCTCCCTACTTCCTCCCTCACATTTTTAAACTGTCAGTTTTGGCCTTCAAATTGGTGCCCAGGGCTGGGGTTCCCAAAAAGGCAGTAAACTTGCTATCCTGCTCCCTTTTCTGCTCTCTAGGCCTTATAGCTCTCAGCCACCATGGGATGATTAATTTGAAGTTGCATGCCCATAAAAGAGTTTTCACTTTAGTAAAAATGACAGTGCCTTTCAAGGAGCTGGTGACCTCTGCTGCTTTGCTATATGGGAAATGGGAACACTTGAGGCAAAGTTCAGATAGCAAGAGGAGAGAAATGCATTAAGCCTGAGAGATCTGTTTCCCACAGAGGCAAGAGTATGTGCCTGAATCTCACTCCTAGGGCACATCAGCTGCCCCTGCTTCATGTGCAGGATGATTCTTTCACTTGGCTGCTAGAATAATGTGTGTCGATCTCCATGTTATTGGTGCAGTAAAACTAGCAGCATCAGTCAGAGGGACAGTAAAATGCATAGCTTATCCCATCCGGTGTCTGGTTCTGTGACAGAGAGTGGTGGCATCACCAGTCTGAGATCAGCACCAAAAAAGGAGGGAGTCTGTTGTCTGAGGAGGACAAAAAATCAAAAATCATTAATGACTTCATGGCAGAGGTGGCCTATAATTTATTATAGTTTCATGAATCTATCCTAAGGACAGGATTCATTCTCAGAAGCATTCTCAGAACCCTCACATATGAAACAATTAAAGTAGAGATGCTGTTTTTAAACTGAAGAGCCAGGAGGCAAGAGGGCTGAGAACCTGACCACTGGACTCCTTTCTTTCACCCCCTGCAATGGCTCCTTAAGCACTTATATAGAGACCCTTAGAATTCAGTCACCGTTTGAAAATTGCTGCCCTGCAGCAATCCTTACAGTTGATTTTAATTTTTCTAGACCTAATGTTCAAGTCACTAATTATCCCCAGATCTCAAAGCCAAGCACCACATACATTTCATCTATCTCTCTAGTCTCCTCTGTAGGGCATCCCAGGGCAAAATGTTGGGTTTTCCTTTATCTCGCCAATGCAGTTGGGGTGAACTTTCTTTTTCTGTTTCCTCCTTCCTCTTCCCTCCTCCCGCTGCAGTTTCTTAGCGAGGTTGGGCTGTTCATCATGTCTGGACTATTTCACGACCCAGGGGCTGACCACCATCTATCAGATTGAGCATTACTCCATGGATGTAAGTAACTGTTAGACTTTTCTCTTGAGTTTTATTTCTTCATTTCCTCCCTCTGGTGACATCCACCTTCTAGTTTAATCCCCCTGGCTTTAAAATTTGTTTTTGTCATACTCCTAATCCTCAGTTTGGATGGAATCCATAGCCATATTAGAAAGATTCCCACACCTTAGCTTGTATACATATGAGATGCTTAAGAATAAACCTTCCTCAGCTTGTCTGATGAGTCAGTTATCTATTGCTTGCATACTATGTACAGTGTGGGAAGAGGAGATCTAATTCCCACCTTCAGGAAATTTATAACCTCTAAATTCAGAGAACTTTTGGGATGTTCTCATTAATTGGTATTAGATCCCAGGGAGGATAGGAGGAAGTGATACTTTTCTCACTTTAAAACATGGAGACAAAAATGTAGGCATTTGCCATGATGAGTTGATGACAGAATCAGGAATATAACCCTGAGGTGTAAACTTCTGGCCCTTAACTCTGTTAACTGGCCTTTTGTGACTTTCCTTGAAGTTGGACCTTAAGGGGATCAGCTGCTCCCCTCAGTGAGAACCATATGTTCCTTCATCTTCAGTTCTATCAGAATAGGGCTCAGACAGCCCTGATCATTGGGAAAGATCACTGGTCATGGGTTTAAATCCTATCTCTGCTTTTCAGTAGCAATGCAAACTTATGCTTAGCACTTTGCCTCTCTGGGCCTCAGTTAATCTAATTGGGTTCAAAATCATGCTCTTCTGTCTTTTATATTCTTTGGTTTGTATTTTGGAGCAAGCTGGATAGAAGGGGACATTTCTTGCTTCCTACATCACTTCTTGAACTATTGCTCACATGGGGCTTGTATTAATCTGATTTTCCTCTGAGGCTGCCCTCTGTGCTGCTCTTTTTGGGGTTAGCTATCCTTTCTACCAGCTTCCAAAGGTTCCTTTGGACTGGTGGAAGATCCTCTCTGCCTCTGCTTCTGCTTCTGTAGTTGGGACTTTTTTTCCTCTCCTTGAGCACTGATGCCAGAGATGCCCTTGCAGCATGAGAATGCCCCAGCCCTGTGGTGACATGTATATGCTGTGCTACCCCTATGCCCACCCCTCTTCACCCCATAAATCAGCTCTGGCTGCTGCTCCCTGGTGGTGAAAACTATAGAGAAAGCTTTTGGAGTTAGTTCTGACATTGACACCCATCCATTGAAGACAACAGAGGTGCCCTGTGATTGAGAGCTCTACATGAAGGAACAGAGAATGCATCTCTCCTCTGTTTTTAAAGTTATACCTTCTACTTGCTCATTTGTCCCTACTGGGAAGTGTGTCAGGATGGATATTAGGATCTGAAGATGTTCTCCACAAGTACATCTCTGCTGGTGTTGTCTAGGTCTTGTGCCAGTGTCTGGACCACAGCTTTCTTACCTGTCAGTTATAAGTTAAAATCTATCTAGACAGTCATACAGATTAATGGAGCCCAGTTAACAAAGAGGTTTGGACTTATTTGGAGTTTTCAAAGCCTAAAGAACTATGCTCACTTTTCTATTTATGGATCACCTTCTCTGTAATGTATTCTGCTAGAATGGGAAATTGGAGTACCCATACTGCAAATTTCCAAATCAAGAAAGATTGGAAGGCTGTCTAATTTCTGCATCCTCACCTCAGCTTCTTCCATCTCATCACTGGAAATAGACATCTCTTTTTCAGCTTGTCTCTCAATACCAGTCTAAGTTATTTAGCACCCCTTCCTGGAAAAAGAATGCCATTAAGTTTGGGAGTTTTCATAAGTATCCCTTCTAAGATGCAAGGATGGGTTCTTAGTAATACAACAGTAATAATACAAATGGTTTAGATTTATATAATATGCTTTATAATTTGCAAAATATTTTAATATCCACATTTACATGAGTTCACAATGACCTAAAAAGGAATTGTATTCCATTTTACCAATGAGGCCAGTAGAGAATAAATGACTTGATGAAGGTTTAGAGCCAGTCAGTGCAAGCAGAACCTTTGTCAAGGTCTTCTGGCTCCAAGAAAAATGTTCTTTCTACCCACCATGCTGTTCCATAAAAAGAGGAAAAATAAAATAAAATAAATGTGCCATCACTGAAACAAGCTAATGAAGAGCTACTATAGATAAATGTAAGAGATGCCATGACCATTAGTTAAGCTCAACCACGTTCATAATGCCTTTTACCCCCATCCATTGAACATGGGCACATACTCTGTATTTTGATACCCTAATTTATCTGAGCAGTAGGAGACTTTTGGCCATTAGGGTAGTTTTCGGTACAGAGGCTGTCCTGAGTCCCCAGTCCATTCACTTGTGCAAATTTACACTTGTGAATTTCTCTGATATTCAGCTTTCTTACCTAAAAATAAGTATAATAGTATCTACCACTAATCTGAGCATTAAGTGAAATTATGATATACAATAATTAGTTCAGAGGTTGGCATGTAGAAAATATTTAATAACTGATAGTAATCTTTTCTTCTCATCGCCTCATTTGAGTGGTAGTGATAGTGAGAAGGTACTCTTTTACCTTACGTTTTTGTTTTGGGATTTTTTCCCTCTGATCTAACTGTTGTCCCCATTTCACTAATGGAGGAACTGACACCAGTAAAGAATGAGTAAAGTGCTATCCGCAAGCAGAGATGGCATTTCAAGACTGTACCCTTGTGCTTAGTTGCATGTAGTGCTAAAGGTTATTGAAGAGTTACTTTAATTTCTAATTTAGGGATCAATAAATTCAGATCAGTTAAACCAAAGCACTAGGGAATGACAAAATGGTATAGACTAAACGTCAGTCTCTCAGTCCTAATTCACCCTAACTCCCTTTCCTATTGCACAGGATTTGGCAAGCCTAAAAATCCCTGAGCAATTCCGACATGCGATCTGGAAAGGCATCCTGGACCACCGGCAGCTCCATGACTTCTCCTCCCCGCCCCACCTCCTGCGGACCCCAAGTGGTACTTCAACAGTCAGTGTGGGCTCCAGTGAGACCCGGGGTGAGCGTGTTATTGATGCTGTGCGCTTTACCCTCCGCCAGACCATCTCCTTCCCACCCAGGGATGAGTGGAATGATTTCAACTTTGACATGGATGCTCGTCGCAACAAGCAACAGCGTATCAAGGAGGAGGGGGAGTGAGCACTGCTATGTGATCTCTTTCCATAGTCTTGCCATCTGCCCACCCCCTACAAGGCCCTACAGCTTGACCTTCAAAGCATTTTCTCTATAATCCTCTTCTCAGTCTGGTTTCTTAAGGAAAGGATAAGTAAGAGGCTACATTTATCTGATATGATTCTGGCTTTGAAGTCTGACTCTGATTCTGGCTTTAAGCCTTCAAGTCTATTGCTTGTAAGAGTAAAGTTGCTATGGATAGGTAATGGATAGCTATGGATAGGTAAGACTAAAGTTGCTATGGATAGGAAGTGAGTAAAAAAGCAGTTAGTGTCTTCTTAAGCTGCAGAGATCTCTCATTGACTTTTATAAAGCATTTTTACTTTTATAGTCTAAGACTATATATTTAAATATATAAATATACAGTATATATTTTTGAGTGGGGGGGCATTGAGTATTGTTTAAAATGTAATTTAAAGGAAAGGAAATCAAGTTGCACTTAACAACTTTTTTTTTTAATTTACTTGTTTTGGATGGCTTATGTATACATACCCCTTCTGTCAAGGTATAGCATGTATGGTAATACATATTTAGAGCTTGTGCTACATGTGAGTGACATTTATGTATATGTCCTTCAGTTCTTTTGATGCTAAACAAATGCCATGTCAGACCTTTGGGTAGATCAAGTTGTACTTATCATTACTTATTATGTAGGTGAGACTGTATACATATGTGCATGATTCCCTATGTTGGTATATTTTATGTTACTGATGTCCCTACTAGTATGGTTATTCACTCTGGAGTTATTTAATCCAATTACAAGAAAAAGTTTATATTCACATTATCACACACCATAGGGAGGAAATATCCTCTCTTTCTTGGAATTTGGGTGTGACTAAAACTCAAAAGGACCAAGGCAGGCATTTCAAAAACACCTGGTATCATTTTCCTGGATATATCAATAATTCTCTCAAGTTTAAAACCAGACATGTAACATCTTAGTATTTCCTGGGAAAACATTTGTGGCCATTATAAAAGCCTTAAAACTGAAATGTATGACTAGATTGGCTAACTCAATTACACATTTGCTACCCTGGATAGAATTAAGGTTGAGTTGATTGGGATAAATGCCATCTACGTAGTTCTTACAGTGAAGGCATAATGTCTATTAAGAATATCCAGGAAAAGCAGATAAATATAGAAATAATGAAGCTCCACTAAACAAAGAGCAAGAGATCCCAGTGAGCCATGAATTGAAATTGGAAGACCTCTTGAAATAGAGATAATATTATTTCATAAATTTTTTTTGTAAAGCCCTCCTATTTTATAAAGTGCTGCATGTAGAGGCTTGTTTATCTTTCTCTCTTCAAGGTTGAAAACAGGAGTAGTGATTTGGAAAACATGTAATTATGAGGTTATTTTTCTTCTGTGGCATCAGTTAGATCACTATGTCACTTTTCTTTTTTGATCAATGAGAGTTTCACTTTGTTGGAAAGTAACTGTGAGAACCCACTTCCCCATTCACTCTCTTCTGGACTGTGCATAGACATAAAAATGTCCCTACAGTCCCGGGGATAAGCCTTCCATGGGAGGACTTGTTGCTTGAACCACATAAACAAAGACTTGTCTTCAAAGCTTAAAAAACATGGCAATATTCCACTAAATATTTCAGGAGCATATTTTGTAGTAAATACTTTTTTCACACTTTACAACAAATATTTTGTATATATGCTAATGAGCTCTCAAACGCTCTTCTATTTTCTAGTAAAGGGCTCTCATTGTCCATAACCTTCCATTTTTATTTTAAAGTGCAAAAGGGCTAATATGGCTCTAAAATATGATGTATGAGTGTCATCTGAAAGTGTATATATGTTTTGAGTGTGAAATTGCATATTTTGTTTGTTATTTTTTTCTTTTTGGGTTAGTGGGCTTTTCAGAACCACAGTTGAAGCATTTTATTATTATTATTATTATTGTTATTATTATTGTTTTTATATTTTCATTGAAACACCAGTTAGTAAAACTAAGAGATCAAATTAAAGAAAATGTCATAACTGTAAGATGGGGGGAGGGAAAGTTGTTGTGTTTTTTACTATTTTTATTTTGTATGTTAAAGAGAGTGAGTCCTGGATTTCAAAGTTTCATTGTGCTTCAGTGGTAATAAGCACTGTTAACTTGTGGAACAAGCAGGCAGCTTTGAAAACTTATTGAGGGGAAGAGTGAAAGCTGTGCCTTAGCAAAGCTAAGAGGACAAATGGCTTCCTCTATTGTCCTGAGTGTTTGAATAAATTTAAGGGCTTCTTTGGACCTATTTCAGCACTATTTTGATGGCACTAGGGACTCAGAAATTCATGTACTGTATCTCATGGGTTTGGCATTAGCTGAGCCTAGGTGCAACTACTGGCCTAACCTCCTGGTGGAAACTCACACTCTTTGAGTATATGAGTAGCTAGGAGAGTGGGGTGATAGAATATAGAGAGCAGATGAATAGGAGTGTGCTTAATGAAGTTCTTGTGGCCTCAGCTCAATGCAGTTAGCTGAAGAATGGATAGGTTTTTGTTTGGAGGTGGTTAGAGACACAAATGGAGAACAGAACTTTCTTCATTAAATCCATTAACATTTGTCTGTTGATATTCCCCTAAAATGCTATATGTGGGATGTTGAATGTTAAGGGTTCTGTTTTTTTATTATTTTTATAATTGTACAAAGATTAGTAAATGTTATATGTTTTATGTACCTTATTAATGTTTTTTTGAAAAATAATTTCTTATATATGTGATATCTTTTTTTTAATGCTTCAGTTGCTTGACTTTTGGTATTTTGTATCATGGGCCATTAGTGAGCCAGAGGCGAATCTATAAGTCACTTATGTTTACCAAGACATGCAATAAAATTTAAAAATAAATAAAAATGCATTGAGAAATGGTGTTGATAGTGTGTGTGTGTCTTTAGCCACCTTATTTTTAATCATTGATGAAGAGAATTTTCATGAGAAAACATTAAAGAGTTTCCAATATTAATGCTCTTTATCCCAGAACAATATAATCATTATTTTTTCATTTTAGCCAGTCCGTGAAACCGAAAAGACCAGAAAGATATTCTCATTTGGTACTCACAGATTTAATACTTTGAGGTCAGAATGAGTGTGCTTTGGAACAGAGATGAGATACTTCTTATGTTTGATAGAAGAGCTTTCCCATGGTGCTCAGCGATGACCTGGGGACCAGCTCAGCACTGTGGGGCGGGATGCAGATTTCCCAGTTGTGTGCAGGAACTGCATTGCAGATAGTGGGTTCTACACATATTCCCCTACAAATTCAGTGTTAAGTATCACCTTTCAATTATATGCATTGATTCAGTCAGTAAAATATCTACTATCAAAATGGTTTAATTATTAAAGAAATGAAAAAGCTCATTCTTTTATGAGCTAACATCAGATGGCAATTTAATGCCTTAGATTTATAGATAACTTTATAGAATAATATTGTATATAATATACACTTTTTAAAGATATGTTTTCCTTTTTATAAATAGCATCATATTATGAATATATACATTCATATAGGCAAGGCAGGTTCAGGTTGAATTAGGGGTGACAAAGGATTACAATTCTCATTCCTTAAAATGAAAGTGATGAATTCCCTCAAAACGGTTGATACAATGCTGTTATAAAAAGAAACATAAAAGGAATGAAAGTGGTTAATCCTCAATATACTTTTAAGGCACCTTGGATTCAACTGTAGTTTTCTGTTTATTTATTTTTGAATAGTTATAACCATTTGTATGGATTGGTACTTTGTGACTTTTATTCTGTTAGCTGTCCTTTGAAGTCCAAAAATACTTTTTCAGTTTCATAGCAAAACTGAGGGGATAATACGGATATTGCCCATAAAGCCCCTGACTCTACACGTGCCTGGCCTCACTCATTATCAACAGCCCCACGAGAGTGGCACATTTGTTAAAGTTAAGAAACCTGCACTGACACATCATTATGACCCAAAGTCCACAGTTTACAATTCACTCCTCTTGGTGTTGTGCATTCTCTGGGTTTGGACAAATATTTATGCCGTATATCCACCATTACAGTGACATGAGAATGGTTTCAATGCCCGAAAAATCCTATTTAACTTGTTCTCCCCCAAACTCCTGGAAGCCACCATTAACCTCTGGTGATCTCTGTACCATCACCATGGTTTTGTCTGCTCCTGAATATGACCATCATATATCTGGAATCATACAGAATATAGTATTTTGAGAGGGACTTCTTTCCCTTAGTAATATGCACTTAAGTTTTATTCAAGGCTTAATAGCTCATTTCTTTTTAGTGCTGAATAATATCCTATTGTCTTGATGTACCAGTTTGTCTAATCACCTACTGAAAGACATCTTGGTTGCTTCTAAATTTAGGCAATTGTGAATAAAGTCGCTATAAATACCTGTGTGCAGGGGGGTTTTTTGTTTGTCGTTGTTGCTGTTTTTGTGGATAACTATTCAACTCTTTTGGGTAAATACCCAGGAGCATGATTACTGGATTGAATGGTAAGAATATGTTTAGTTCTGTAAAAAACTGACAAATTGTCATCCAAGTGGCTGTGCCATTTTTCATTTCCAGCAATGAATGAGATTTCCTGTTGCTCTACATCCTCACCAGCCTTGGTGAGGTCAGTGTTCCAGGTTTTGGCTGTTCTAACAGGTGTGTAGTGCTATCCCATTTTAATTTTCATTTTCCTGATGACATATGTGGACCATCTTTTCATGTGCTTATTTTCATCTGTATATCTTTTTTAGTGAGGTGCCTGTTAAGGTCTTTGCCCATTTTTTAATTAGCTTGTCTATTCTTTTATTGCTATTTTGAGAGTTCCAAAACTGTTTGTTTTTTAAAAGAACAAAATTTATTTCTTGCAATCATCATAGGGTCTGTTAGACCCTTGTACAAATCTAAAATGCAGATAGGAAAGTTAGCGATTTTGTTTTTCCAAATCTTGAGATAGTTTCCCTTCTTACCATCCTAGGAATTACTTTATCACTACTTATCAACAAATTCCAATGAACCAAAAAAAAAAAAGACTAAAGTTTTAGAAAAAGGAAAAATGGTGAAATTACCTAACACCATGCTAATAGGGTAGAAACTGTTTAAAAGTGACTACTCTGCACCTGAAGTGTGGCTATTTCAAATTGACATACATTATATTTCAGACACTTATAATAAATACAAAGAATGTAAAATAGTGCATTGATAATGTTATGTTGATATCATGTTAAAAGATATCACAGATTAAATAATATCTATTAAAATTGATTTTAGCTAGTTCTTTTTATATTTTATGGGCCTATTAGAAAATTTAAAATTATATATGTGGTTTTCATTATGTTTCTATTGGACAATTGGCCTAGAAATATGATATATTAAGGAGTCTAAAAGGGTTATTAAATAAATTTACTATTCATAATTATCCAGTTTTCTTACTATGTGGCCCAAAATTATTGCATCGTCTTTCAAGAAGGTATAGAATAATATGAGGCATTTATCTTTATGGTCTGCTTTTAGTTTTTCATAGTAATTCAGAATTTTTCATTTTCTTCTGATAATGGCAAAGAAATTAAAATTGACAGAAGATGTTTCAAAATTGTTATATACAAAGATAAATATTTAAGAAAAACAGTGCCACTTTAGGCTCTAATGACAATGGTAAAATGGATGGTCTAAGTTAAATCTCAGACTGAGTCTTCATGTGATGATATTCTAGATGAATTTTATCAAACAAAAAACTCAAAGGTTGTGCAATACAGCTCTCAAAATGAAACAGATATATGTTTCTGTTTAGTAGTTAATTATTCAACAAGTAGAATTTTACCATGTAAATTTTTAAGGACCTGACAATCATATTTTTAAAAAGACCATGTAACAGTATTCTTTCATGATTCTTGTGCACTGAAATTTACCCAATATGCTTCAAAAGTGGACAAATACTGGAGGCTGCTGTGTATCAAAGGTAATAGGAAGAAAACAGATTATGTAGAAATTTAAGTCCTTGAATTGACTTGAATTGAATTCACTGTAATTGGAGCTTATAAATGTAAAAATTAAAATACTTTTCAATTTTGTAGCAAAGAATATGGCAATCTTTTCAACAACATTATGAGCCATCATATGTTCCAAAACTTTTTCAAGTACTGCATTTTGATAATGCAAATGCAAGATAAACATTCAGAAGTAATAAGCTGGAACATATTTGACATTGATATTTACAAGATGGTTATGTCTCAGATTGCATGATAGTTCATGAGTAGTTAATGCCATTGAGAGGATATTTCTTATTTTGCCTATATATATATATGTACATCTAATATCATCAAAACAAAGAACAAAATTTTAAGTGTACTATACTTAAATTCTTATTAAAATTTTCTGATGCTGTTGTTTTTCAGTATCTTTTCTCTATTTCATTCACAAATTTAATATAATATTTTAAAAGAATTAATAAGATGCAGATAATAGATAATGACTTTTTCCTGTTACACTGTTAGTTATTAAAATAACTTGCCTCGTATTAGTTATAGAACACCGAAGACAATGTCAATTAAACATGCCTGAATTATCTAAAACTTGCAAAGACTTCTGAGATCCAGAGATCATATTTGTACTTTTGTCTGTACCTTCTGTATTATTTAGGAAGGTCACTGAAGGACCCTAGTGATTTACAAATCACTCCTGATAGCAAAATAAAATAATGGAACAAAGGGCTGTGGATGAGTGGCGGGTATACATTGGAGCCTTCCAGACCCAGGGAAGATACACGAAATCTTGAATCAGAGCACCCACACACTGGCAAGAGGTGTGTTCATTCTCCCTTCAGTGATTCTGTCTCTTTCATATTTTACAGTCCTCTTACAAGTAAACTAGAGCATAGGACACTTCCAGTCTTGCATATGGATTTCCCAGCATCCTCTTGGCAAAGTTTTAGTGTCCATTATTTTTTAAATTTGATCAGTACTGTGTTTTTGCCTGGTACTTCAGACTCATGGTGATGCAGATGTGTAAATTTTCATGGAAATACAAAGAAGCAGAGTGGAAAGAACATTGGACTGAATAAAGTGTGGTGACTGGATCCAGATATTTCATTCCCTGCACCTCAGTTTTAGCGTGTAAAATGAAGGGTGTGAATACCTAACTTGTTAGTATTGTGATAGTATTTTTTAGGAACGACCTGAAGGTTGGCATAAAACAGCTCTGTCTATATATATATATATATATATTATAATATAGATTATAGATTATATATATAATCATATATATATGATTATAGTTTTAAGACAAATTAAAATATCAAAGCTCTGTTTCCCCTCCCCCAACAAATGGAAAGATATATAGATGGATAAATAGATTTTTTTCAGATAAGAGTAGTTCAAAGTGGTAGTTTAAACTGGTATTTTTAGAGTCAATGTTGGGTGTGTGCTTGAAACTTATGAGATTTGTAACTCTCCACAGGATTAGTATGCCAAGTAAGTGGGTGGCAAGTACTGGCAGGTAAATTTCTCTTTTGTGATTCTGATCAGAATTTTAGGCCTAGGATTTTCAAGGTACAGCATTTTGTAATTTGAGTAAAAGTTAGAGACACAGGACCAAAAGAGGGAAAGAAATTTCTAGCAAAGAAACCTTGGCTTAGGGAAAAATAGATAGTAAATTAAGACTTTTATGATTCTGTAACTCATCTGACAGTGGCACCATAATTTGGGGAATACCATGATTTATCTGTAAAAAATTATGATGACTTGGCACAATAGTTTTATATTTCTAAACTCTAGATACTACTTTCTCTAAGTTGATTGTTCTTCCCTACCATTTTTCAGCTAAGTTCGCATCAGTCATATCCAATTTTTTTACCAATTTACCAGCACCTTCTTAATACTGCTCATCTCCATTAA